TGCTGCTGCCGTCTGCGGGGGCTGAAGGCACATGCAGCAGTTGCAGTAGCAGCTGCTGCAGCTGCAGCACTAGCACCAGCTGCTGCTGCTCCTCCTGCCGCTGCTGCTGTAGCAGCAGCAGCATCAGATGCTGCGGCAGCAGCAACTGCTGCTGTTGCAAGGACCAGCAGCAACAGCAGCAGCAGCTGCAGCTGTTCCTAGCTGGAGGCACTGCCTTCTCGGAGGTGTTTGTTTGGCTGCTGCGAGTTGACGCAGCAGAGCTGCTGAGGTCAAGCCAAACAGCAGCAGCTGCAGCAGCAGCAACAACAACCAGTTCTGCTGCTGCTGCTGCTGCTGCTGCTGCTGCTTCTCTGGTGCTTATCCAGCTCTTAAAAGGGCACAGAGGGGGCCTCTTCTCTCTGGCGTTTGCTGCTGAGGGGGCCCTCTTGGCCTCGGCCTCAGACGATAGAGAAATAAGACTGTGGCTGCGCATGCCCACTGCAGCAGCAGCAGCAGCAACAGCAACAGCAGCAGCAGCAGAAGCAGCAACAGCAGCAGCGACAGCAGCAGTAACAGGAGGTCATCCAATACCTACGGCAGCAGCTGTTGTTGCAGCAGTAGAAAAGCTGCTGCATGCGCTCAGCAGCAAACAGCCTGAAGCGCAGGGTACTGCTGGGGGCCCCCCGATCGTAGCTGGGGGGCCCCTCACCGTGGCTGGGGGGGCCCCCCTTTCTCCGTTTTCTTACAAATGTGTCTCCGTGCTGCGAGGGCACAAGTCTCGCATCTGGAGTGTCTGCTTCCTCAGCATCTTGCCTCTCTTGAAGGTGCAGCAGCAGCTGCTGCAGCAGCAGCAACTGCAGCAGCAGCAGCTGCTGCTACTGCAGCAGCTGCAGCAGAAGCAGAGTCGTCTGGAGCAGCAAAAACAGCATCAGCAGGATCATCTGCAGCAACAGGAGCAGCAGTACTACCATCTGCAGCAGGCGCAGCAGCAGGAGAGGGGACAATACACCCCAGACAGCAGCAGCAAGAGGTTGGAGCTGCTGCTGCTGCAGGCTGCTTGCTGCAGTTTCCTGCTGCTGTCAGGGGGTGAGGATGCAACCGTTAGAGTTTGGTGTTTGGGGGGCCCCTGCCTATACACCCTAGATGCGCATAGGGGCCGTGGGGTTCGTTCCGTAGCAGCAAGTAAAATATATTCTGCTGCTGCTGCTGCTGCTGCTGCTGCTGCTGTCTTTGCTTCTGGAGGAGAAGATGGCTGCAGCAAGCTGTGGCCCCTTGAAGCACTAAAGCCGCTGCGTGGGGCCCTGCTGCAGCACCTCAGCAGCAGCAGCAAGCAGCTGCTGCTGATGCTGCAGGACCTACACACACAACAGATGAGCAATCCTCCCCAACTCAACACAGCTGCAAGTCCTGCTGCTGCTGCTGCTGCTGCTGCAGATGCTGCTGCTCGAAGGACACACGCAGCAGCCGTAGATGCAGANCAGCAGCAGCAGCAACAGCAGCAGGGGACACAGAGCACGGGCCAAGGCGTAATGACAACTGCAGGTTTAGAAAGCTGGACTTGGAGTTGTCGTGTGGCAGCAGCAGCAACAGCAGCAGCAGCAGCAGCAGCAGCAACAGCAGAAACAACAACAGAAACAACAGCAGATGCAACAGTAACAGAAACATCTGCAAACGCTGCTGCTGCTGCTGCTGCTGCTGCTGCTGCTACAGGGGGGCCTGAAGAAGTAGCAACGGGGGAGACAGGAGACACTTCAGCCGCGTGGGGTTTGACAGAGACATCCTCTGCTGCTAATGCCCCACAAAGTTCTGCAGCAGCAGCAGCAGAAGCAAGAGCAGCAGCAGCAGCAGCAGCAGCAGCAGGAGTGTGCAAGGGGGGTTGTGGGTGGCTAGGAGGCAGCAGCAAGGACTTCATTAGAGAGGTCTTCTTCTGCTGCTGCGAGGAGACAGAAGGAGACAATTTAATTATATCAACAAACTATGGCCACGTTTATCTCGTTGCCCATTGCGCAGCAGCAACAGCAGCAGCAGCAACAGCAGCAGCAGCAGCAACAGCAGCAGCAGAAACACCGTTTCGTTGGTTGCTGCTCTGCTGCGTCCCCTCTCCCATAACAGCTACAGGGGTTGTTGATGACTGTCTCCTTCTTGGGGGGGCAGATGGATGCATCCGCATGTGTCTCCTCCGGCCCATCAGGGGGCTCATCTCATGTCTACGGCAGCAGCAGCAGCAGCAGCAGCAGCAGCAGCAGCAGCAGCAGGGAGGGTGTAACATGTTACAAGGCACTGCATGGGCAACAGCAGAGGCCTTCTGCGGAGTTCGTGTTTCGTCTTCTTCTGTCTTTTCACTGGGCCCTCTTTCAGCTCCACCTGCTGCTTCTGCTGCTGCTGCTGCTTCTTCTGCTGCTGCTGCTTGTAGCAGCACGCTGCTGCCGCTGGCCCGCAGCAGCAGCAGCAGCAGCAGCAGCTGGGCGGAGCTGACAGGCCTAGATAGCTCTTCTGAAGCTGCAGCAGCTGCTGCTGCTGGCTTTGTTGTCGCTGGGGCCCATACAGGCGCCGTGAAGTTCTACTGCTGGAGACAGCAGCAGCAGCAGCACCCTGGGACCCCTGCTGCTGCTGTACCTGCTGCTGCTGCACCTGCTGCTGCTGCTGCTGCTGCATCTGATGATGCTGGCTGTGCCCTGCAGCTGCAGCAGCTGGCCACTGTGTGCCTGCCGCGGTACCGGAAGGGCCCACCTGCTGCGCCTTGCAGCAGTAGCAGCAGCAGCAGCAGCAGCAGCAGCAGCCGCACGACGAACAGGGTGATGTGCTGCATCGCTCTGGTGTCTCAGACAACACCGCAGCAGCTCAAGGTTTCTTCTGTCTTGTCTGCAGTCTTTCTGCTGGGTGATGAACACGGGACTCTCCATGTGGTGCTTCTGCAAGTCCCTGCAGCAGCAGCAGCAGCAGCAGCAGCGGAGCAGCAGCAGCCACACCGGGGGCAGTACTGGGATTGGGCCTCTCCTCGTGCTGCAGTGCAGCAGCCGCTAGTGGAGATACACCCCAGGAGACGCGTCTGCGCCCTCAGCTGCTGCGGGGGCTTCACGTTCTGCTGCGGCGGAGACGGGCGGGTCCTTATTCTTCGTGTTGCTCTCAACAGCAGCAGCAGCAGCAACAGCAGCAACAGCAGCAGCAGCAGCAGCAGCGAGTTGTGGGTGCACCAGCAAGTGTATATTCAGCAGCTGCATGCAGTCAGAGTGTCACAGATCAGCAGCTTTGTTTGTTTGCTCCCTCAGGGGGGCCTCGCTGGGTCGGGGGGCCCCTGGCTGCAGCAGCAGCAGCAGCAGGAAGATGATGGTTTCGTGCTGCTGCAGCAGCACGTGGCTGTTGGTGTCAGAGGCAGCGAACTCTGTGCCTTCTCCTTCACTCAGGGGGCCCCCATGCTGCAGCTGCCCTGCGGAGACAGCAAGCGTTCTTTTGCTGCAGCAGGGGGCCCCCTAGGGACTGTCTCCTTTGCGTTTTCTAAGGGTCATTGTCTCTGCCTATACACTAGCAGCTGCAGCAGAAGCAGCAGCAGCAACTGCAGCAGCAGCAGCAGCAGCGGGAGGAACGATCCTCTCTTGCAGCAGACAGAAGGGGAAGAGTT